CCTCTTTTTCTCTTCTTTGTCACTTTCTCTTTTTTCCTCTCTCTCATCACAACATGCTTAACAAAAAAAGCATACACAAAAACAAAGGTATATGAAGTTTTATTTATTGCCACCAGGTTTAGAATTTTTGGAAAACCCAGAATTTACTGTAAAAAAAAAGCAACATTTATGATTATTAACATATTATGCTGTGCATCCTGCCATGTACCCTCTGCCCTGGTTTTGTTTTTCTGGTATGTTGGCGCTCCAGCACCTTACAAGGTAGACTTTGCAGTTTTTTCAGCACTCTAGCCAAAAAGATTGCCTACCCCTGGCCTAAATTATTCTATAGTGAGATTTATGTTGCTATAAATCGATTTAAACAGCACAGATTTGACCCCAGCATGGACAAGCCTTATATATCTTTTTATAGCAGGCAGCTGGAAGCTTTAAGAAATCTGCCTCCTAACTTTTGTTTGTTTCTCTTCCACACGTTGACAGTTGTAGTTTGTCACATGTGCCAGTGTTTCTGCCAACACTGGTTTGTTAAGAGAGATGATTAAACATTTGTTTTGAAACTCATGTGGATGGCATAGGGTTCTGTAAACAGGTATAATAAGTAGATTGTATTTGGGGCCCATTACTGTAAATGATGCATCTCTTCTGTTCTTTTGCCTGGGAATTGAGAGAGAGGTCCAGCCACACTGAAATTTACAACCTGGAAACATCACTGTACCATGATGCCACTGTAAATCTAAACCCAGCGTACTGCACTTCAGCCTTCCACAGAATTATTAATAACAAACACCGATCCGTTCAGCCATGCTGTCATTTTTATTTTACAGAAGTTGCTTTTCATCTCCAACACCCCCATTTACCTAATAATAAGAAGGGCTGCACTTTCAATGGTCTGGTGTGAGCCAGAAGGGTGATGTATTTATAGAACTGACAAAGTTACAGAACTGCTTAAGGTTTCTGGCACTGCTTCTGCTGTTGAATCCCTGAGTTCAACAGAGGGCATCTGCTGCATTTTTCCTTCAGTCGGCGCCCAGGTGTGGGCGTGCAATTTTACAGCTGTGGCTTTGGATATGTTAAAGGACTGCTAAACAGATCCCAAAACTGAGATCAACCCAGGGCAAAGCCCTTCATTACAAAATAGTGGAGCCTTGGCTCTGCCCATGTGCCACAGCTGTGGACAGGAAGGTACAGAGCTGAGGCCAGTCAGCACTGGATTTCTGTTTGTGGAGAGAATTAAAATTAAGATTTAACTCATCTTGGGATTTCCAGTGTGCAGACTCCCCCCAGGTTCCTGGTACTGCCACACTGAAGTAAATTATGCAGCAATCCTCATTTATTTTTCCCACCCATGAAATTTACCCATTGCTTTTGACTCCAGCTTTGTCAGGCCAACAGGTTTTCACATCTTTCAGGGAATAATTAGAAGAGGCTGGAATTGAATATGAAAGGAAAACAGACTAACATAATAAGAGGGGGCATTCTTCTCAAGAGACCCTTGTCATTGCTGTTCCTGTTGTTGTCACATGCACACGGGGCAGATCCAGGGAAGATTTCATAGGCAGTTACACCCCTCTTTGGTGATGCACCACATGCATAGTGAGGTCCCTGTGCTCCCCAGTTGGTCAGTTTTTGTTTTGTTTTTAATTTCTTGCCTTGGGCCAAATCAGTTCCAAGTGCTATCAACTAAGCAGAGCTGAATTGTTCAAGTCTGTGTGGCACTACCACCACCAAGTATCATACCTCCCAGACTCTTCAGCCTAGGGCTGCAGATACTCCCAAATAACTGTGTTCACGAACACAGTTTCTGCAAACAAATATCTTCTGTGGAGATACCAGAAGAAAGTGTGGAGTGGTAGTTAGACTGTTGCAGGCCTGGGTGCCAGTGCCGGGCTTGACAGGTGAGGGTGTAATGTCTTGTGTCAGGGTTAACTGCATAGTTTTACTAATATATAAAACATTTGGATTTGTATAGGTTGGCTTGAATAAGGATGGTCCTGCCTCAAGCAGGGGTTTGGACTAGATGACCTCCAGAGGTCTCTCCCAGCCCTACTTCCCTATGATTGTATGATTCTATACAAATTTGTATGGCAGGGTTTGGAT